GATGCAAGTGTCTCAACTGTTGCTACAGTGGAGAAAAGCAAAGATTAGTTATAACAAGCTACAACTGTTATTTCCCTTCTCTTAAACAAAACAAAACAAAAAAACCTTAAAACTTATGTATTATTTGTGTGCCTGCATATCTGTATGTGCACCATAGTGTGCAGTACCCACAGAGGCCAGAAGAGGGTGTTAGATCACCTGGAGCTGGAGTTCCAGGCAGTTGTGAGCCACCTCACACTGAAACAGAATCCTGGTTCTCTTAGTCACTGAGTCCTCTCCCCCACCCCTTCCCTTCTCTTTTAAGCACCACATCAGCCTGAAGGCCTAGACACTTGGCATCTTGCAATATGTCTGTAGTGTAAGTCATCTGTTTCATGTAGTGCTGAGCCATGTTGATGGAAACGGGAGTTAGAAAGCCTCATTTAACTTCAGTTTAAAGATACCAGGTAAGATTATATGCAGGGGGCCTAGAACTGTACCTCAGCATAACATTTAAATTCAGCTAGTATAACAAAACTAGGTCTTGTAGAAGTCACCTATGAAAGTCTGGAAAGTGGGTGTTCTGACTTCCTGCTTCTTAACATCCTGACTTGAGTTCAGTATTCTGCATCATTTACCACCACCACCCGGTGACAGCTAGACTTAAGTGAGGTTCTTCTGAAGAATAATTGAACTTCCTGAGGGTCAAGTTACAAACTGGAATGCCAGAAGAATTCACAGAAGTCCTGGGTGGTAGAGCAGGTCTGTGATCTCAGTCCTCAGGGGTAGAGCAGGAAAATGAGAAGTTCAAGGTCTTTGGCTTCAGAGTGAGTTCCTAGCCAGCCCTTTTTCAAAACATAAATAGTGACAGAACAGAGGGACTGTTGGTAGCTCAGTTGATAGAGTGCTTACCTAGCATACAGATAACTCCAGGTTTGATCCCTAGCACTGTGTAAACCTGGTTTGGCTGCATAAGAGGAATGCTCATTTAACAGTATCACCATCGAGTCAGGAATGTTTGCTGAAATCCCTGAGTCTTCCCCCTACCTTTCCTCCCCCTCCCAACCAAATGCCTCCTCACAGTGACATCAGCCTTTCTCTCCTTTCTCAAAAAGAAAGCTCGAAGAACAATGTCTGTCATGCCTCCTGATGCCTTTGCCGGACACTGACTTATAGTCATCGCTTGGCATCTGTGAGTGGTTCTAGAATCATCCTTAGAGACAAAAACAATCTGAAAATTTCCAGGTCTTTCAGGAAATTGTGCTGTATTTGGGCAGAGTCTGTACACATCTCTGTCCTTAACAATCTCTATCTAGATTATTTATAGAACCTAATAAAATACCAACACTGTATGGATTGTTTTTATTCTATATTATATAAAGAATATTAGCAAGAGAACAATCTGGACACATTTAATCGAGACTTGAATCTGAGAATACAGAACCCACGGATAGGGAAAACTTGTCATTTTAAAACTGGAAATGAACCATAGTGGTCAGCAGAATGGCATGTATCTTCCCATGAGATCTCCACTCATATCCCAAGGTTCTGCTGCTCTCTGAGGCCTGATTTTAGTATTCAAAGAAAACCATATCTCTTATTCCCTTTACTTCCAAGCCATTCAAGAGTCCTGCAGAGGTGGAAGGCTAGGGTGTTTGGAATCATGTTTCATCTTATTGATAGGATTTTTCTCCTTACCATCTTAGGCCCTACAGTGAATTTCAGGTCTCATTTTGGCTGCCACCTAAAGACTTAATCATTTTAGGGTCAGGAACATAGCTCAGTGGTAGAGTGCTTTCTCAGCATGCACAAGGTCCTGGGTTCAATACCTAATACCACCAAAAGGGAAAAACAAAACAAAATAAAAACAAAATCCCTGAAAGTTAATTTTAAAAATCTTAAGGTCTAGGGAGATGACTCAGTTGGTAAAGTACTTGCCCTGAAAACATGAGCGCATGAGTTTGAATTCCTACCACCCACAAAATGCTGGTCATGGTGGACAGTGTCTGTAGTGCCAGCGATGACAAGATGTGATGGAGACAGGAAGGCTCCCTGGGCAGCAAGCTCCAAGTCATTGAGAGACCACGTCTCAAAACACAGGGTGGAAAGTAACAGAGGGAGTGCCTGCCTCTGGCCTCCAGACGCACACGCATGAGCATGCATATGTGTGCAAACACATACATTTGTATAGCAACACACAAACTCTCAATGCTGTAGGAAGGAAAGGCAAAAGAGCATTACAGGGGTGGTCTTTGTAAGCCATTCCTATACAAAATGGAGAAAATAACACAGTTTTTTTTTTTTTAACCCACAATCCTACACCAACATTAGAAAAATTTCTCTTCCCTAATCCCTTCAATGGCTTTTCTTTTCACTTGGGTAAACTTTTGTTTTTCTGTCCCTCGAGGCTTTTTATAAACACTTTCCCACTTTGCAATGTATTTGTTTCTAGTATTTGTGTAATATACTCCATCATGCTGGTGTCTCGAAATTTATGGCCAGTTCCTTTAGTGCGAGGCATTAAGGTTATTTCCATTTTCTCTCTATTATAAATAATGGAAGCAAGAACATCTTTCTACATTGCAGCTTTTTTTCCTGTGTTTGAGTTATATCCTTAGGACAAATTCCCAGGAGTGGGATTAGTGGGTCAAAGGGTCTGAGCGGCTTTATGGCTCTTAATATTTATTGCTAAATTGCCTGAAGGGTCATTCTAATTTACAGTGCCACCTGCAACATATGAGTGTCTATCCCTCCCAGGCTTGCCAACACTGGCCTCTTCGGGCACTACATTGGGCCAGATTTCAGAGGTATTAAGGCAACTTGTTACTCTCTTTAATTTCTTTAGTTATTAAAAACCTTATGTATGTTTATCTGGTTCTGTTTTATATGGCTAGCTTTTCTTCCCATAGGGTGATATATCTTGATATCACATGAAATTTAAACTATCTTCTAATAAAACTGTCAAGTGCAGGCCGGCGATATAGGTCAGTTGATAGAATGATCACCTGGTATGCAGGAGGTCCTGGGTTTGATCCCCAGCACAGCATAAAATTAAGTGTGGTGTTGCAGCCTGTAATCTTAGCAGGGGGTGGGGTGGAGGGTGGCGGTGGGGGTCAAGGGTTTGAGGTTGTATGCTGTACAGAGAGTTTGAGTCCAGTCTGGGTTAGAGATACCATCTCAAAATGAATAAAGAAGTGCCCAGTTCACCCAGCACAAAGAGATCATCAGTGAAGCCCACTAGGCTCGTTCCAGGTTCAACAGATGACCCATTCGGTTGCATTGGTTTCCCTCGTTCCTCTTTTCTGCTTTCCCATGTTCCATGATAAAGCAGCTCCTACCTCATGTATGCAAGTTTCCTGCACATGAATAGTGCCTGTCTAAAATGTGCAATTGTTCTAAGATAATCATAACACTGTTATCACACCTAATAAAATGACAGTCCCTTAGTATCAGTACCAGGCATAATACAATTTTCCAGAGTCTTTTTCCTGCTGCTTTGTTCCAGCCGCCACAAACATTCCTCATATTTCTAAAGTTGGGGTTGGAGAGATGGCTCAGCAGTTAGGAGCACTGGCTGCTCTTGCAGAGGAGGAGCCAGGCTTGAGTCTCAGCATCCATGTGGCACTTCACCTCCCTTTACTCCAGTCCCAGGGGATCTGACGCCCTCTTCTGGCTTCCTTGGAGAGTCCACAAATGTGGCGAGCATACATACACTTCAGGCAAAGCACCCATACAGTGTTAAATTAATTAATTAAAAACATTTCTCACATCAGTATGTAAGAGATCCTTAGTTTTGAAGGTTTCCTAGACCTTCACAGGCAGGGTATAGTGCAGATTGTTAAACGAGTCACTTATTGATGATATTGGTTTCATGGTTTCTAAAACCAAAATGTATGTCCAAGTTATGTATAATTTGTCCAGTGAGTGTGTCTTTGGGATATATACCTAGAAATAGTATTTCTGGATTGAACAGTCAACATGCATATGCTTCTCCAGGTGCACTTGGTTCCCTCCCACGGGAATTCTAACACTTTGCACCAAGGGATTTTCACGAATGGATGTCCAAATGCCAAAATATCACAAGGCTGTTGGAAATGTAACATGCCATTGATTGATCTCACTTTTGTTCAAGACATGACCAGGCACAGATTATCCTGGTTCTTGCTTTTGGAGACCCTCTGCTCAGTCCCAGGAAACAAGATATTTAATAAAAAGCCAAGAGGACTCCAGGGTGTGTACATGATGTTACAGATGTAACACGTGTCACTAAGGTGACCGTGCAACTCGGGTCTGCTCATGGAGCCAGTCCTGCCCACTGTAGTCTTCATGAGTCTTTAGCCCTCTGAATTCCATGAATAATTTTAGTGATCCTTACCCCCAAACAAACATTTGACACTTGGTTGGTCAGATACAAGTGTATTAAGAGAAATAACCAAATGTTTGAAATGTAGGTGCTTAATTAATCCAAGCTAGAGATCATCTTTGTTGACTTGTTTTGTGTCTGTCCTGAAGCACACTCCCTGAACTGTAAGGGGATGTTATCCAAACAGCACAGTGGTGTGGAGGGGTTGGCTACACAAACCTAGCAGGACATCCCTGGGTCTCAGAGTCCCCTGTTGTCAGGGATTCTCAGGTCAGCTCTGATCCAGGAAACAGAATCCATAAAGCAAGGCTGGGATGTAGCTCAGTGGGTAGAATTCTTACCTAATGTACACAAGGCCCCAAGTTCAATCCCCAGCACCCATAAAACAGATGTGGTGGTACACACAGGAAATCCTAGCACCAGGAGGTAGAGGCAAGAAGATCAGAGGTTCAAGGTCATGTCCAGCTATGTAGCAATTGGAGACCAGCCTGAGATACATGAGACCCACCCTGCATCAAAAAGGAAAAAAAAAATAGTCAAAAAGCAATCTGCACACAGGTTCTATGCAAAAAGGCAAAAGTATTTCTGCCCACTGATTACCTTGCAATTGTAGAGTTCTGCATTTTTACCTAATGATTTTCCTCTTGTCTCTTTCTAGATTGAATCATTAAAGAAAAAAGTGCAACAGAAGCAGCTCCTAATATTGCAGCTGTTAGAAAAAATCTCTTTCCTGGAAGGAGAGGTAAGAGGCTACGGCTCTTTCAAAATGGTGTCGTCCCTGCCATTAAATTTTATGTTGCTGATCCTGCTGTGGACACTTAATTAAAAATATGGCTATTTCCTGGCCTTGTAAAATTGATTGAAGGTTAACTGCCAGCCTTGCAAAGGAGCTCTGACAGCTTTTTTTCCTCTACCCTCTCCCTCTCCACGCTCCAGCCTGCTACTCACAGCTGCGCTTTCAAATAGTGTGTCGTCTTCAAGAATTCTCCCAGCAAGTCCCATACACTGTTAGTACTCAAGAGTGTATAGGGCTTTATAATCTGTAAATGACCTACACATATGTCCCTCATGTGGTTTCCTTGGTAAACTTTTAAAACATCGAGAGAAGGATTGTGTTTTCTGTGTGAAATGGAAAATGAAGCAAAAAAGGAGGTGTCATCAGCCAGGGTCGCCCAGCCTAGGAAAACCCAGACTCTGGGTTGGAGAACAGACTCTCAATCCAACACATGCTTTACCTGCAGCTTGGAGTTGCTTCATAGTCTTGCCTCTGGCCTTTTGATAGGCCTTTGGGGGAAATCTCTGGCAGTTCCAGGGAAAGAAATTCTGAGTTGGAAGAACCTTAAAAGAGTCTGGGTATTAATATAAGAAGCTGAAATCCATTTTCCCTGTAGCCTCTTTATTAAGAATTTAGCACTGTGCAAAGAGCTCGGTTGCCAAGCACCTGTCCTTGTCACTGCAATTAGAAAGTGGAGACAGAAAAGAATATGTTTACAGTATCTCAAGTAGCCCAGGCTGGCCTCAAACCCTGTATGTAGCCAAGAACGACCTTGAACATATGCTTTTCTGTCTCCACTTTCTAATTGCAGGGTTACAGGTATGTGCTGTTTCCCCTGGTTTCTGTAGCCGCAGCCCTGGGTGTACCTGGGGGGGGGTAGAAGTGAAGATTGTACATCTTCCCTAGTGACAGTCAAGAGTCTCTAGATGAGGGCTACATGTACAGAGAGGAGTCTTCAGAAGATGGGGAAGAGATGCTAAGAGAAACAGGGCTTAGCCCAGAGGGTCCTCCACCTTGTTTCTATCTGTGGTACTCCCAAGCTTTCCTGTAGGCCACAAAGTGTCCAGGGAATGTGTGCAAAGTGAGGGGCTTACAAAAGAATGCTTTGCTGAATGTTCAGACAGTTCAGCTCAGCTCATGGTTTGGGCTTCTGAGATGTGGGTATGAGGTGACGTTGGGAGGTGATTCCAGGAGGTCCCAGTATAGAATGGGGGGCGTGCTGCTGGAAAAAGGCTCATGGCACTTGGGGTCTCTGGGATATAGAATGGAACTAGCTTGAGTCATTTCCAGCATACTGAACATTCACTGACCCCACCAGACAGTGGCTAGGGTCTGCTCCTGGGGTTCTAGCCATTTGACCACCTAGGCAAGGCCACTTTTCCTGTGGTGATCACAGGAAAGCCCAGGTGAAGACTCAGGAGGTAATGTCTGTTGGGAGGCCGTGTGCAGCAGAGGGTGAAGGAAGGCCCTGCAGTGTCAACTACACCTATCTCAGAACAAGACTGGGAATCCAGTTTTCCTCAAGCATTTAAACACTGATTATAAAGCTCATTATCCTTCCTTCAATTATTTAAATCCAGGGCAAATATGGCCAGTTGCTCTTGACTACTTTCCACATTGACTTTAAATAGCAGATAAGCATACAAAAATAAGTCACATGGAAAAATTTCCGTGTACTTAGACTTAAGTATTCTAAAATATTAAATATCAAAAATTTAATGCTGCACCTGCACAGCCAGAGTACCAAGCTTGGTGGAGGGTGTCGGGATTGAAACACTTAACTGACCACCATGAGAAGTGAAGAAGCTGCTGCCACTACTATTTATTACAGAGAGTAATGGGCTTATATACCCAAGCCAGGGGATGAGCTAAGCATAAGAGGAAGTCATGCACCACCCACTCCTGGGGTCAAGGCACAGGCACTGCACACCAGAAAGTTCTGAAAACAACCTTGTTTGCTTAACCTTGTTTGCATGGAAGTTCTACATCTGGGTGGGGAGGAAGAGAGCGGTAAGGGACAAGCACTTAAATTTCCCAACATTTACCTCATCATATCCTTGACTTTTTTTTAACCTTCCTAAGGCTACCGCTTTATTTCAGTATTGTGTATATATACATGTATGTATGTATAGACTAGAGGACAGCAACCTTGTATGTCATTCTTTGGGAGGACTGTCTACCTCTTTTTAGACAGGATTTCCCACTGGCATGGAATGTAATGAGTAAGTTAGGCTGGCTGGCCAGTGAGCCCCAGGGATTCTCCTGTCTCTAGTTCTCCAGAGTTGGGATTGCAGGTTTATCCCATGATGCCCAGCTTTTACACACACACACACACACACACACACACACACACACACACACACACACATAAAAAAAAAAAAAAAAAAAAACTACTGACCTGTTCCTTGCTGGCTATGTGTGATTACTGACAACAATGAGTACCCCCTCTTTCCAACTGATGTGTGACTAATGATTCTGAGCTGCCCTCCTGTGGGCTGTGATGTCCTGAGTGAGCTCTCACTTAACTTTATAATCTTAGCACAGAGGTGTTACAGACCGGCATATAATTAGTACCCAAGAAACTACAGTGCTTTGGAAAAGCTTCCTACATTAAAAATGTCAATTACATCTCTTACATATCTTATACTCACCTTAATTTTCTATTATAAAATTATCTTGGATGCTGATATAAAGAGAACATATAATAATAATCCTTATTTACTATATATTAATTTTGCCTTTGACATGATGAACAAAAGGTATTTCTCAGATTAAGCTTGCTGCCATATCATAACAATTTCCATCTTCTACCTTTAAGTAATTTTCTGTTGCTATAAGTAATGTCTAAGGTAGGTAAGTGGCTGAAGAGCCTTGCTTCTTACACACATCTTTCCCTAGTCCTGCAGTGTCCTTGGTCTGTGGGGAGTGTGTAGTGACAAGCCAGAGCTGGTTCATGACATTGAGCAGTATGCACCTGTATACTTCTTAGTTCTTCACTCCGTGGCATCACATAGGACTCAGGCAGGTTCAGTACTTGGGCAGGCTCAACCTGTGTTGCATGGAGCTGAGGAAAGCTATGAATGATCATATGCTTCCTTAAAGCATTATAAGGAGAAAGCTGGGGAGAAAGCTCACTTGGGAAAGTGGTTGCCCTGTAAGCAGGAGGACCTGATTCAGTCCCCAGAACCCATGAACCAGGCAGGGAGTGGTAACCCTGAGACAGGTGATTTCTAGGGCTTTCTCTCCAGCCAGCCTACATTACATAGTGAGCTCCAGGTCCACAAGAGACTGTGTCTCAAAAAACAAGGTTGATAGTGCCTGGAAAGTGATAGCTGAAGTTGATCTCTCCACACATACATACATGCAGCTGTACAGATATAAACACACATAACATTGAGATGATTGAGATTTAGCTTGTGATTTCTGACACTTAAAATTATGTTCTGGGCTGGAGAGATGGCTCAGTGGTTCAGAGAACTTGCTCTCCTTTCAGAGGACTGGAGTTCAGTTCAGGGCACCCACATCAAGTGACTCACAGGTACCAGTAACTCCAGCTCCAGGGTACCCGGTGCCCTCTTCTGGCCTTCTTGGGCACCCATGTGCACATGTGTATATATACATGTAGACATATACAATGCTCATAAATACAAATTTAAAAATTTTAAATGTTCTGAGTCAGCAAGAATGTTCAATGGGTAAAAGTGTATTTTAAACCCATATTGTAGAAGGAAAGAACTGATCCTGCAAGTTGTCTTGTCCTCTGACATCATCCATACACATTCATATATACACACAGAGAGACGGGGGGGGGGGAGGAGAGATGCAATAAAAACACTTTTAAAAATAATTCTCAAAATAAAGGGGCTGTTAAGAACAGATGCTGTTCTTGCAGAGGACTCAGGTTCAATTCCCTGAACCTAAGTGGTGGGTACAACAGTCTAAACCTCCAATTCTAGGGCATCCAGCACCCTCTTCTGTCCTCCTTGGGCACCAGGCACACACTCCGTGAATGTACAGACTTTCAGGCAAACACTAATGCACATAAAATAAAGGAGAATAAATCTTTAAAAAGAATGTCCTAAAGTAAAATTAGAGGGCTAGTCTTCAGTGAGTGGCGAAACCTTCTGGACTGGATTCTGTTTTTCCTTGCTGATAATCTTGAATGTACGGTGACATTGAAGAGTCACAGGAAATGAATCCAAAGTTTGGCTTGTGTCCATCCTGTCCTTAACATGCACAGTACAGGGCACATGCCTCTCTGTGTGTCTGGGCAACACTACTAGCACTCTCCTAAGTTTCCTGGGTGGAGTTGTGGCTGCAGCACCTGGCACATGGCTCCCCACATGCATTTTATTGGACATGTTCTTGTCTAGGTCTCTAAGTCAGTTATTGGCTTCCCTGGGTCGGAGGGGAGCTTGAAGAGGAGGTACCCATGCATGCGTGCATGCATGCGTGCGTGTTAATTTCCCACACACACCTAGAGTGACTGTGCTAGTTCTTTCTTCCCAGAAGGCATGTAAACCTCCCTGCCCATACAGAGGTACTCATTACACATACAAACACAAGGTGGAGGTGTTTGAAAGCAGGAAAACCAGCACATTGCCCCTCAGCCCCAAAAGCTTCTCCAGAGCTCAGTCATGTCACTTCAGCTGGCGCTCACTTCTTTGTATTATTCTTTTCAATGTAGTACAGCAATGTTATAAACAGGCACACAACTCATACACAATAAGCTACGGAGCCTTATAAATGCTTCCTAGTTTAAAAATCAACAAAATGTTAGCATATCTTACAGAAACCCTGCTTTCCTGTTATAAGATGATTTTGGGCTATTTCCTACTCTTCTCTCTGAGGCATGTGAAGGCTAGATACCTACCTTGGATGTCTTCCTCCAGCTCTCTCCACCTTATTTTTTAAGACAGATTTTAAGCGATCCTGGATCTCACTGGTTTGGTGAGACTAGTTGACTGTTGAGTCCCCAGGCTTCTCCCATATCTGTTTCTTATCACTGGCCTTTTTATGTGGGTTCTAGGGACCAAACTCAGACCTTCTTGCTTATGAGGCAAACACTTCACCCACTGAGCCATCTTCCTAGCCCTAACTTCCTTTAACTGGATGTTTTCTATTAATGTACCCTTAGATACACTGGTTCTTTACTGTCTCCTTACTTTCCCTAAGTCTACAATACAATAATAGTAATAATAACAATAGTAAATTTTAAGTGTTGTACTCCTCTATTCTAAAATTCCCAGGTGAATCTTTCATGGCTCTTTTTTACTTTTTTTTTAACTAGTTCATTACCTGTGGGCATATTTTCCGTTATCTCTTGGTCATAGTTAAGATGGATACAGTCAAATCCTCACATGCAAAGTCCAGTATCTGAGTCACATCAGGACTGTTGTCTGTCCATCCCTTTTCCCCAAGAACAGGTCACATCTTACAGATTTTTCATATGCCGCGTGGCTTTGGATTATAAGCCAGGGATTGCGAACCCTTTAATGTGGGGACTTAGAGCAGTAGTTCTCAACCTTCCTACACTGCGACCTTTTAATACAGTCCCTGGTAGCGTAGTGACCCCCAACCATAACATGATTTTCATTGCTACTTCACAGCTGTAATTTTGCTACTGTTATGAATTATACTGTAAATACCTGTGTTTTCCAATGGTCTTAGACAACCCCTGTGAAAGGGTTGTTCAACTCCAGAGGGGTCGCAACCCACAGGTTGAGAACCACTGCTTTAGATTCTGTGTCACTGTTCTAAGGAGCAATGGGAGTTTTTTTCTATTAAAAGCAGATGAAATTGTTTGGACCCAGATACTTCCTGCTCTGCCTGGAATGGGTAATGGCTCTGTTCACTTCCTTACCACTCAGATTTGGTTCACCCTTCATGATCATGGTTCAAAGTTCTACTAGAGATGACTACTAAGTCCAGAACACAATTTGGGGTTTCCGCCTACTCGGATTCTCATCTTTCCACTTATTTCATTGTCTTACTGGTCTAAGGCTCCCTTTCTTGGCCAGAAGAGGGCATCAGATATCCTGGGGCTGAAACTATAGGTTGTTGTGAGCTGCCCAGCATGGGTGCTCATCTCCTTTACTTTTCCCAACTCTCACTAGAGATTTCATTACCCCTCCCCACTCTGCTATACCCCCAGTGGGTTCAGTCAAATACTTTGCAGATATTTTTGCAATGTTATCACATTGTTCTGTTCTGTTCTGTTCTGTTCAGTTATCTGTACCCCAGCAAGACCAAGAGGCGCAGGCATGCACACTGCGCTGTATTTCTTTAACTGTGTGCCGCCTTCCCTCAAACTATCTGATATATATAGAAGATACACATTATTGTTTTTTACTGATTTCATGCAATTTTCATGAGTACTGATTTTTAATTTCTGTGCTTCTGAGGGTGTTTGGTATTCTACACAGAATCCCTGTGAAATTAAACAACACATTTTAGAGCCACTGTTCACCCGTCCCTGCCTTCCAGACCAGGAAAGCTTGCTAACTCCATGTCTTGTGCCCCCTGACGGTTTATCCTCACCCTGGCATTCCACGAAACCTTCAGGGTTGAAGTCTTTGCACTGGAGAGGAACAGGCCACGGGGGGGGGGGGGGGGGCTGGAGTTGTCAGCAAGAAAGGCCTCTTTTGCTTTTCTCTTTCCCTGTAAATTAGAGAGTCCATATGAGCATGCCCTGCCCCCAGTAAGTCAGCCCAGTAAGTCAGCACCTTTCTTTCATTGTAAAGATCGGATGACAGAGTGGGGCCGAGGGTCTGTCATAGCCCATCAGTTGCTAGAGCAGCGAGCACATTCTCTTTCTTTATACCATTTCCACGTGTCAGAACCTTGTACACAATGAGATTTTATACAACAGCTCTTTGGCAATGCTCACTCAGAGAGGAGCTACCGAATGCAACCCACATCACTTTAAAGTCAGCTCCTGGGACTTTTTTTTTTTTTTTTTAAACCCTACCCTTAAAAAAAAGAGGGGTGGTGTGTGAGTGATTTATGTATTTATTCAGTAAATTTTATCTTGTATGTGTTATATATCAAGTTTAAAGACTCTAGTCAAGAAAATAGATAGGGCCTTTATGGTTTTAAAATTGAGTCTTTATCTTTATCAAAAAAAAAGTTAAACAAAACTTGTCAAAAATCAATTAAGGAGTTGGAGAGATGCCTCCACAGTTAAGAGCATTTGCTACTCTTGCAAAGGACTCAGGTTCCGTTCCTAGCACCCATGTTGGACAGTTCACAACCACCTGTAACTCCAGCTCCAAGGGCTCTGACACCCATCCGAGGCCAGAAGAGGGTACCTACCAGACCTCCTGGATCTGGAGTGACGCTGCCCCGGTCCCATCCTCGCCTTTCTTGCCCCTTTGTCCTTCGTTTTCCCCATGAGGCACATTTCCAGTTTCTGGTCATTTAATCATCAGCTTACGCAATGTTTGGCTCCAGCTTAAAAAAAAAAAAATGAAAATTATACAGAATGCTAATTTTAATCCCAAGGAGCTCATTCTAGTTTATATGTTTGAGATCCTGAATTTTTCCACACCTATGAAATACTTATTATCCAGTTATAGAGGCTTTTCCCACTAAATTAAATTAATAGACTTACTCATTTTACAGCTTAGTAAGGGAGTGTTAAAAAGGTGAGTTGCACCATATTTATAATGCCAAAAATGTGACAAATACCTAACTGCCCATTGTATGAGACTAATTAAGTGAATACTGTACGTCACACAATGGGATACTGTGATTCGGTTTACAGAGTTTGTTGACACAAAAAGAAAACTAGTAAATTTGGGGAGGTATCTACAATATATCTGTAATACATTGGCGTGTGTGTGTGTGTGTGTGTGTGTGTGTGTGTGTGTTCACAAACATGCAAGAGAGCTCATGTGGAGGTCAGAAGACAACGTGTAGGAGTCAGTTCTCTTCTACCATGCAGGAGCCTCGGGTTCAAACTCAGGTCACCAGCCTTGGCAGCTGTCACCTCTACCCGCTGAGCCGTCTCACCACCCTTACAGTTGCTGACCGAAGAAAGCAGATTATGCTACAGACCAGCATGTGTTACTTCCATTTCCACACAACTTGATGTGCACGAGTGTGCACACACGGAGGGCTTCGTGTAACGATACAATCGATGGAGCTCGTCAACACCCACTCTGAAGCACACACCTCGTGATGAGTCTCAGTGCTGCAGGCTTGATTTACCACAACTGCCTTCCTCTCATTTCTAGAATAATGAACTACAAAGCAGATTGGACTACTTGACAGAAACCCAGCCCAAGACGGAAGTGGAGACCAGAGAAGTTGGAGTGGGCTGTGATCTTCTACCCAGGTATTTGGGAATTTCCTGTTTTTCTGACAAAACTCCTTCTTTGACTTAAGGAAACTATTTTACTGGGCTGTGGTGAATGACATCAGAGTCTTCCTATGAAAACTACAGGAGCTAAGCAGTTACTTCTGAGTAGGCAGAGGAATTGCATGGGGTGGAGGAGACAGTGAAGAGGGACTGAGGAAGCCAGAACAATCAGCATGCCTTTGCTCATTCATTCATTCATTCATTCATTCATTCATTCATTCATTCAGCAAACTGTAGCACACAGGTTGCAGAGAGAAATGAGATTGGTTCCTGCCCCAGAGTAGTGTATGGAGGGAGGGATAGGATCTCAGAAGTCATTAATTGCCATGTTAGAGGGGTGTGCTGGATCCCTTCAGAGAGAGTCCAAATGAGGAACAAAATTCATCCATCCTTTAGTACCATAGCTGTATATTCAGACGTCTGGTTTGAATCTGGTTCATCCTAACAATCTTCTCAGACTGTGTGCTGGCTAGTTTTACTTCAACTTGACACAAGCTAGCATCATCTCAGAGGAGGGAGCCTCAGTTGAGAAAATGCCTTCAAAAGGTGTGGCCTAGGCAAGCCAGTAAGTCATTTCTTCATTAGTGATTGGTGGGGGAGGGCCCAGCCCATCATGGGTAGGGCCACCTCTGGGCTGGCAGTCCTGGGTTCAGTAAGAAAGCAGGCTGAGCAAGGCAGTAAGCAGCACTCCTCTGTGGCCTCTGCACCAGCTTCTACCTCCAGATTCCTGCCCTGTCTGTCCTGACTTCCCTTTAGTGGTGACTACACTTGCCTCCCCAAGTGGCTTTGGTCAATGTGTTTCCTCACAGCAATGATAACCCTAACTCTACCTCTGACCATCTAGCTTCATTACCAGGCTAGAGGGCTGACATGTTCATTGTTCAGCTGCTCCCCATAGTGAGGTCTGTGTCCTGCTTAGTCATAGTTGAGCCTATGATTTAGTGTCCTGCCTCTAACTGACACAAACTTGCCATGGCTGGAGCTCAGTTGTGCTCAGCCAACAGGATGTGACTATGTATATAACATGGTTATTGTCTTGTGGCTTGTGATTTAGGTCATCAAAGTCATGAAGTGGCAAGTCCTAGTATAATGGGAGTGAGAAAGAACTTATGTGTAGGCTGTGCTAGAAAAGAATAATCCAAGAAATATGTCAGATCATGGGACCTTTAATAGTGACATCAGGCGGGAAAGAGTGACCAGCCAATTGCTCATCTGGGATGTGGGATGCCCAGGGCTGGTCCTGTTGACCACCTGTAGCCTGGCATCTGGGAATTCTTTCTTTGCTGAGGCCTTGAGTCTGTAAAGTCAGCTTTACCAAGGCTCCAGCATTGCTAATGTGGTACAGTGAGACCTCATTTCCATACTTTTAAATCTGTGACCAAGGGTTCTTGCTGATTAAATCTAGCCATTTACCATTGTCAGAGAACTTACTAGCAGCAATGTTGAACTTTGTTTGCCAATTTCCTGATTCCCAGGTAAACAAGGCAGCTTTTCCATCCTAATATGATTGACATAAAATGCTTTTTTAAGAAGATAAGAGTGCATAAAGTAGACTAAGCATTTCACCGACATGTGACACAATTTACTCGATGAAAATATAACCAAAAGAATGAATGATTGTGTTTGGGGACCGTTCTTGAAATATGAGTAATTTGGCCATTTCCCTCTTTCTCAGGCTTTTCAGAGACCAAGTGTCTCAGATCACTCTAATTCCCCACATCATAAATCTTGTTTGGCCAAGACGGGCACAAAACCATGGCTGAAACCAATAAATTGTTTGTTTTCTGATTCCCACATTTTGGCTTAAAACAGGCTTTTCAATTTGTACACCCAAGGATAGCCGGAGGCAAACTTTTATGGCTACGTTATGAAACCACAAAACAGTTTTCATAATGGAAGTGCTGACAGACCCTTAACTTATGGCCACAGTGAACCTGGAAGGCATGTCAGAATCGAAAGGCAGCTTTTCCATAAATGTAACATTTGGGTTTCCCTCAGGATCCATTGCTGCAGTTTAACTGCTTAGGTCAGTCAGCGGAGGAAATGAAAACTACATAACCACATTTCCGAAAGGGCAGAACAATATTTCACCCGTTTCCTCTCAAATATTTATGAAGTGCCTACTATGTGAAAAGCACCCCCAGGTCACAGGGGTGAGGAGACTAGAGCTTCTGAGCTATCCCGAGGCAGGGTTTCCACTTGGCTTCTTAGAAAAGCTTTGCCCTGTTGCTGGGGCTTTTGAGGAGCCCTTGGGGATGGAGGGAGAAGAGGATTATTGAGGTACCAGCTGGGGAACACCTTCCCTCCCCACAACCTTCTTAGCACCAACTAACCTACCCAGCATTTAGTTCTGAGTGTTGGATTCTAAGTAAGACTGTTTAAAATACAGGCTCATGGGTGAAAACAGATCAGGACCTCATAGTCTAGACGAATCCTACATTTCAAAGGAAACAAATTGGAAGTCCCAAGAAAAAAAGCAACTCACTGAGAGCCACACAACCAGGGGGAAGACCAGGCTTCTGAGGCTGGGTACAGCCATTTCTAACCAGAAATAACTCAGAAAGTTGTGGGTTGCTGGGCTGGTGAGATGGCTCACTGGATAAAGTGCTTGTCACCAAACCTAAGGATCTGAGATTGGTCCCTGGGACCCACATGGCAGAGAAGCCTCTGATCTCCATGACACCTTGGCAGTTACCTGTAGAAATTGCTAAGCAGTATTAGGTGTATTCTGACAAAAGTCCATTTCTTATTTGGACTTCAAACTTGTATCTAAAAAGTAAAATATTCCAGAATACTTCCAGAATAATTTTATAGTTTAAATTTTTACTTATTTATATATTGGTTTCTTTGAGACAGGTGATATTGTCTAGAGCTCTCTATGAAGACCTTCAGCTCCTCACCTTCCTGTCTCTACCTCCCAAGTGCTGGGATTGAAGGTGTATGCTACCACACCCAGCTCAGAATTTTTTTTTTTTAATACAGCCTCCTTGTCTTAGGATTTCTATTGCTATAAAGAGACACCATGACTACACCAACTTTTATAAAAAGAAAAACATTTTATAAAGGAAAAACATTTAATTGGGTGGCTTACCGTTTCAGAGATTTAGTCCATTATCATCATAGTGGGACATGGCAGCGTGGAGGCAGACAAGGGTCTAGAGAAGGAACTGAGAATTCTACATCTTTGATGTGCAGGCCACAGGAAGTGAACTGAGAAACTGGGTGTATCTTGAGCATAGGAGACCTCACAGCCTACCTCTACAGTGATACACTTCTTCAAACAATGCCACAGCCCGTTCCAACAAGGCCACAGCCCGTTCAGCAAAGCTACATCTCCTAATAGTGCCACTCCATGAGTTTATGGGGCCTGTTACATTCAAGCCACCACATTCCTCCTCCACAGTATTTTTCATCAGAAGTATTCTGCCACAGAGAGCTCAGCAGTGTAGCTGTACTGTAGTGCTCCCTGTGGGGAGCAGGAGTCCTCCCGCTCACTCTCTCTTCTCACACCTGCAGGTGCTAGGTGCTTGCTGCTGCTCCTAGAGTATTACTCACAACTAGGGCTCTTCTGGGATTTTGTCATGCAAAACAAAGTCGCAATGACCTCTTCTTTAGTCACAATGTCACCAACCCTCTCTTCTAAAGCACCCCTCCACACTGCCTGTTTGTATGTTAGACCTAGATCTGAGTCTTGGGTTTGCCACTTGCCTATTGTGTGGCTTTGAGAAAATTCTGAATACTCTGAGTTTTTGTTTCCTCACCTTGAAAAGGAAAATTTGACTGGTGAGACTGAGGCTGGAGGACTGTGGTGAGGCCACATAGTAAGACCTGTTTTTAAAACCAAAAAATAAATAAATAAAATAAAGGAAGGAAGGAGGGTCCTGTTTCAAGAATTTTCCCTGCTGGGGGTGGGGCATTAGGTAACATCTAACTCCCCTCTTCATAAGGTCCCAATGACAATCCAAAGTTCAATCCAGTGAATTTATTGGAACTACCTACGGAGATGGGGAAGGGGTTACTGATAGGAACATGGGTGGCCCCAAGCAGCAACACTAGAAAGTCATCCCCCAGCATGTGTACCACACAGATGGAGTTGCTTCCTTCTAGTTCTACCAAACGTGTGTACTCTAGCCCTACCCGGGGACACCAAGGACACTATCGATTAGGGAAAAATTGAATACAGTTGGTTAGGAAAAATGGTTGGCTACACAGGTGAAGGGCCTGTGATCCTCCTGCCCGCCTCTCCTGTAAGGAATAGTCAACCAGCCCAGCTGTGATAATCATGTGCCAACAGGCACAACTGAACTGGGCTGCTTGGCTGGGAGAATTTTCCTGTACTTGCTTCCAAGTAGACAGCTAACAAACACAGGGCACCCAGTGCAAGCATTTGCAAGTTCATACTCTGTGGATGTTTCCACCATTTTCCCCGTGATCTGTAGTACAGCCATGTCACCGCCGTGATTGCTGTGCAGGTGAGCTCGTTTACCTACCTGTGCTGTCACTTTCCTTCCTGATGTCCTCCCTCCAGCCTGCCTGACAGCCATCTCCCCTCCTTGTCTCTAGTTTCCTGACCTGCTGCTCCTCCTCTGTCTCATCTTTGGGTTGCATTTATTTCTAATGAGCAAGGATCTCATCATGGGATGAAAACATGAGAAGTGACTCACTGTGAGTTCAAGAGTTTTAAACACTCATTCCTGTTTTTTAAAGAATACATTCAGTTTGGAGTGTGTGATGCATATTAATTAGTCATTGAGAATTATTAAGGTCATCTGGCCTCAGTGCAGAGAAAAATAAAAAATGAGAAATGAGACTTTTCTCTCTTCTACTCTTTAATGAACTGAAACATGGTTCCAGTAAACTCGGTTATATCTTTTTTAAATTAGGTTCACATTTAATTTTTTGGATAAATTTATTTTATGTGTACAAGTGTTTTGCCTGTGTGTATGTGCACTGCATGCATGCCTGGTACCATAGAG